AACTAAAATGAAAAAAGAATGAAATGGCAAAAAAAAAATAGAAATAATTTTATTTGAATATAAAAATTTCATCAAATGATAATATTTCAACTAAAGGAATTTTCTCTTTTTCCTCTCTTTCCCATATCGATATCTTTTTTTCAACAATTTCCGATAGATCGCTGTTTTTCTTTCATTTTTCCTTTTTTTCAACAATTTTTCCGATCGCTGTTTTTCTTTTTCTTTCTTTCTTTCTTTCTTTCTTTCTTTCTTTGTCTATGTATAAAAGATTCAGCTGGTATAAAACGGTGAAATGAGAAATAGCGGGATGTAAAAAAATACGGGAATATATTGCTATCGGAGGGATTTTCATCATTTGTAGGAAAATAAATGAATGAATGGAATGTTCGATTCATTTAAATGCCTCGACGAAAAAATTTTCAATGCCAGCTGGCAATTGATTTCACTTCTCTTTTCTTTTTTCATTCCAATTGAATAATAAATTTTTGTTAAATGGAGAGAGAGAGAAAGAGAGAGAGAGAGAGGGAGAGAGATTGGAAAGAACTGAATAATAGTGATTATGTTGCTTTTATTATATACGTGCATTATATGAATATTTTAATTGATATTTGAAATGAAAAAAAATAATTATTATATTTGTGTTTTATAATGTTGCAAAAAAAAGCACACTACTAATATTTTATTTGATATCGGAAATGAAATAAAATAATTGTTATTTTTATGTTTTGTAATATTACAAAAAAAACGCATAATATTAATATTTTAATTAATATTGGAAATGAAATAAAGTAATTGTTATTTTCATATTCTATAATGTTGCAAAAGAAAGTTTATATGAAATGAGAAATGAGCATTGAATAGTAAGTATCCTGGAAGTTCAATTTTTTCAATGAAAATTATCAAGGTAAACTGATAATATTAGTTGAGATGTTTCGATCTTTACCCATATCATGATAAGGTATAATTTAATTCTTATCGAAATAATATAAATTTGATAGGAGAATAGTTTAAGTCTTATCTGAATGAAAATATTTTTAATTACAAATCACTTAATGAGATTGTATACCAATACATTTAGACTTATCATTTGGAATAAAACGAAATATCTGGACTAATATTATCGATTTTATTATCAGTTTATTGATGTTATCAAGATACTTTGATCATTTTCACTGAAAAAATAATCAATATCCTAAAATAATTTTTTTAATAAAACGATGTTGCTTAATTTTTTGTAAATTAGTATTTTGCAAAAGCCGTACGAATTTTCCAGAAATATAAGCTGTCAGTAATCAATAATTATTTTATTATATTCTCCATTTTAATTTCATATTACTTTGTTCAATGTTTAATTTTCCTAAATTAGCATTAACTAGTGATATTTTAAAAGTCCCTAATTAATTAGCAATAGTAAATTATCATCAAATTTCATCAACTTTGTATTATTTCCAATAAAATTTGTTAAATGTTTTGGAATAATTGGAATTTGAAATTTTTGATTGAAAATAAATTGGAAATGGAAAAAATATGAAATGGAATTAGGATGGTGGATAAGATTTAATTATATAAGAAACATACACATACACGAATGTCCACATATACACATACATATACATACATGTATACATATACACATATACATATATACACATATACACATACATACACATACACATATACATATACACATATATACATATATACACATATACACATGTACACATATACAGATATATATACATATATTCATATACATATATACACATACACATTCATATACACATATATACAAAAAATTTTATACATGTACTTATATACACATACACATATACATATATATACACATACACACGTACACATATACATATACACGTATACCAATACATATATATATACACATATGCACGTACACATATACATGTATACGTATACAATACATACACATGAATGGACTGAAATGGATTACATATGAATGGACTATTCATCATTACATAACTATTTATAAAAGTATTTCAGTATAATATTCTTCGTTAAATAATTACTGCTAATGCATTATCATTTTCATTTAGTGACAGGCGTAATGTTTAGTATAAATATTCATCGAAATGAAGTAAACTTATTTGTATTCACAAAATTAAATTGAAAGGCAAAGGAATGAATCTAATTCAATTCCAATATTATTCCAATATGACAGGTCTAAAACATAAATGTAAAGCGTAAAGTAAATTAAAGCTTTCTTTCTCTCAAATTATAAATTTAACTAATCGAAGGAAAAATTTAGATTGGATGAGAAATTACGACAATATGTAAAACCGTAAATTATCAAAAAATTGAAATTCTTTTTGCTCAATTATATCTGCTTGATATTATCAGTAGAAGTTCAATTTAAAAATATAATTTATCATTTCTATTAATATTTAAAGGAAAACAATAGGCAATTATATATTACATGATTTAGCTCTTCTTACTTTCTGTAATTAATTGAAAATCAATTATTTAAAAGTTAATTTAAATTTTAGGTTAATTTAATTGTAGTTTTCTATTGAAAAAAAAGTTCCGACAATTTAAATATTTTGATAAACTGTCACACTTGCAACAAATTTAATTTATTATCAGTTGATTAAAATTATGACAATATTATTGCTATTAGTAATCCATTAAGGTAAGTGTATTTTACATTTATGTAAACTTCTATTCCGGAAATTCTATTTACATTTATGTTCAATTCAAATACACTATCATTGATATATTTGGATAATCGATAAGACAGGATAACCGGATGATGATGATTTAAGAGATCATCATTATGTGCTTCCGTATTTTCACCCCAAAAATACCCAATTCATTTTTAATTTATATCAAAATTTAACTGATGGATTCATTTCACACTTCCATAAATTCCGTTTCAACAATAAACTTTCCGTAAATTTCTTTTTGTTCTACAAAAAACAAGTGCTAGATTAAGTATTAAATTTTCGTTTCAAATATCATAGCAATTTTCATGATCAAGCGATATTGCCAGCGATCCGTAATTTCCATATTTTAAATTAAAATTCAATTTAGCGAACTAAAATGTGTAATTATAACGTGGAACCATTCTACTTGTTTTCAAATATGGAAGTACCATTATTATTCATTTTAAATTGCGATACTGCCAGCAACGTGGAATCATTCTACTTGCATTTAAATATGCAAGTACCATTATTACTCATTTTAAATTGCGATACTGCCAACGATCCGTAATTTCCATATTTTAAATTAAAATTCAATTTAGCGAATTAAAATGTATAATTACAACGTGGAATCATTCTACTTGCATTTAAATATGCAAGTACCATTATTATTCATTTTAAATTTAAAATGCATTTGCAAGCAAAAATGATTGACCGAAAAATGAATGAACAAATTTTAACGCTTTTAAAAAATTGTTTATTTGAAAAGAAATAAAAGCGGAAATATTATAGAAAAGAAAAAATTCAAAACTTAAATGGATTAATTGATATAATTAACATATGCAAATTAGCATCGGGAAAAAAATATAAAATGCGCGAAAACATATAATATTTACTGGTAATAAAATAGTGATAATAATAGTAATTAATGGCAACAATAATAATTATTGCCATCATGAGGAAGCAAAGTTTAATGATAATATTGATAAGCATTATGATATATATATATTTGATGATGTCGTAGAGATAGGAAAAAAGCGATCTGATAAAGAATTAAAGAATCATTGCAAAAAAAAAGTACAATTTATCAGAAAATTTGTGGGAAAAAAAGTTTGTGAAATCTGAGTGATTTCATTAATCCGTGTGATAATTAATTGAAAGCTGTAGAGTTTAATGATTGATATCACTTTGACCTCTTCGTTTTAGGAGATTATCAATTGAACATTAGCATTTGCTATAATTACAATTATAATCCGTTATCAGCAATTAAATGAACTAAATGATTGATGTAATTTTTTGAGAGAAAATTCAAATCCAAGCCATAATATGAATTAAGCTTTATTCTCTTTTTCCTCTTCCAATACTACAAAGGTTAAAAAAGTTGAATTTGAAAAGGGTTATCATCACAAGGTCATTAGGGTCGTCCATACCAATGTAATTTTTAATGATAATATCAATTAATGAGAAAAATAAATTGTTTGAAATGGTACGATCAAAAGAGCATTGCTGTAATTCTATCATAACACTTCTCATTCTGCAATAAACTAATTCATATAACATTTAACTTTTCTCACGCCATTTGCGTATAACTACATAACTGACTACGTGTAAATACGTAATTAAAGCGATATCATTAACCGATTATTGAAATGATACAAATTATCAGTTGTACTTCATAATTGATAAATGCAATTATAGTTCATACATTTGATAAATTTCATCATTGCTGTTGATTTTTCGTTAGCATAATTTACAGTATACGAAGTTAGGAAAGAATTTTATCAAAATATAAATGAATGATTGAGAATTATGAATTATAATGAAATATTGACGAATTATAGTGAATTACGATAAAGGATGATGAATTATGATAAATGCTGAAAAATTATGAATTACGATAAAATGATGAGAAAATTAATAAATGAATTATGATGAAAAATTGTTGATGAATTACAAGATATTACAATGAAAAATATATAGCACTGGAATGAAGAGATGAATTAAAGAAATTTCAATTAAAATATACTTTAAGACCAAATTAGAAAGCTGGTACCACAAAAACAATTTCAAAAATATTATAATTAGTATTTCATATTTATTTTTTTCTCTTTTATACATTTTTTTTTTAATTATAATGATTGATATTAGAAAAGAAATGGAAAGAAAAATTGTGATCGTTAAAAAAATGAAAGTTCAAAAGAGTTTTTCAGGAAAAAATAGAAGAATGATAGAAATGATATGATATTATCACTTTTATCAGTTTTGTTTTTTGTTTTATTTTATTCGTTATACCATTGCGCTTTTGTTATCATCATTATCATGAATCATTCAATTTCCTTTGACAATAACAATTAATGCATCACGATATGCTCCTGAACAATCCGATTTAATCCAATCAACTAATGGTTTTTTGTACATTCGTTCAAATTCTTCACGGATTAATGCTAAATCAATTTCGGATCGTGAAACAATTATCCGTATCAATTGTTGATCAGCTGTACCAATACCCTAAAATGATAATTAAATATTTCAATCCTTAAAAAAATTTATCCCTTAAAAAATTCATTAAATCTCATTCTTAAATAATGCAACTTTTGCATGTTTCATAAGTTTTTACAATGATGAATTATTATGAATTTTTTTAAAGTCATTTATCATTTTATATTATTTCACATTTATACGAGGTTAACTAATTTACTATCATTAACGATATATGTATACATAATTTTTTCTATTAACAATGTGTAAAACAAAAGTCACCCCGAAATGATTAAATGATAAATTAATGATAAAATAAAGAATTGATAAAAAGAAAACAATTAGCAATTAAGGTATATTTTTTATTCTCTATGAACTAATAGCACTATTATTTATTTACTTTCATAGCATCATGTAACTGCTTTGCAAAAAAGCGCGGCTTATTTTGAATGCTGTCAATTAAAGCCAAATATGCATTCTTCGCATCACCACTGAACACTCTCTGCAAATGTAATTGTAAAATGCACTCTCTATTAAATACTTAATTACAGTTGTATAATTATAATTAAAGTAAATTCATTCATACAATAATGATTCACGTAAATTCGTAAATTCGATATTTGAAATGATTTTTAAAATATTAACGAAAAAAATTGGGGAAAAAGAATTTCATTCAGGAATTACATTTTATTTCCTTAGATCAAAATATTAGCATAAAAGGTTGCTACTATATACGTTGCATTAATTAATATGAAAATATTTTCAATTGCTAAAAATTTTTAAACAAACAAACCTCGACAGTTGTTACTAATGGTTCACCGGTCATACTTTGATATTCGCTGAATAGTTTTTGAATTTGTCGAAAATTATCCTGACTTAAGACCGTTTTGAACGTTTCCTTATCCGGTTTCTCCTTCTTTTCTTTATTGCCAAACATTCGTTTTGCTGCCTTAAAGGCATATATTGAAAATAATCGAATTCCGAAAAAGAAGATTCTTGTTAATTTCATCAATTCTGCCTTTTGCTAACATTTTCTCCTCCTTTATTCTTCATTTAAATTTACATCATTTAAAACTAAAATAAACATTCGTATCATCTCTTTCGATGTTATCATAATTGCATCATCACAATCAATTGTACAGATTCATTTCCCTATCAGGATTTTTTAATTTTGAAAGATTCCAAATTATAATTTATGCTACCTATCTGAATTTAAATTAATTATTAATCTCCATTTAACTCATCGAAAAAGTATTCTCATGACTTACGATAATTTACTTCTCATTACTGATTAATTAATACATTTCGATAATTATCCTACTATTCATGCATAATTATTATATTTTCATCCAAAAGAAAAAATTAACAGAAAATAGCAAAAAAATTTTAATCTGACAATTTCAAAAGTAAGAAAGAAAGAAAGACTAAGCAAAAAAAAAAGAAAGAAACAAACTTCTCTCGCTGTCAAATAATTAACATTATTTGATCGATCACGACGATTATTAAGTAATGCTAAGAGTAATTCTTTGAAATCACCACTCGTATCGCCAACAATATCACTCTCCAATGTTTTACCATACTCATTTTTGTATTCAATTTTAATTGCATTTAATTCATTATCACTTCGAGAGCACAAAATATCAATCAGTGTTACTTCGGTTGTACCCAAACCCTAAAAGAGATGAAAAATAAATCAAAAAATAAAATTTATTTTATAATTTAAAATAATAAAAATTGAAAAGAATGAATAATATTTTGAAGAAGAAAAAATAAAATCGTTGTTTTTCGATTTCAAAATAAATATATGTTGTATTTATCATTGTTCTTTTCTAGTTAGCTAAACAAACATCTTTTTTGCAATATTTAGAAGCTAACAATATATATATATGTCTACATATGTTTACATTAAAGGAATTATTTTAAATTTTATAAGATAAATGTTGTAAAAAATAAAAAATCTTACTTAAATATTTGAAGATTTAAAAAAAAAACTAAACAACAACATTAATTTCACAAACTTTCATAGCTTTCTGTAATTGCATTGCATCATATTTGGTTGGTGTTTCCATTAATCCAATGATGACATCTTCCAAATCACCCGATAATTCCTTTTTAAGCTCTTCAATTAAATTTTTGCCATATTTCATTTCGTATGGTCCACGAAGCTATAAAAAAAGATTATCACAGTTCATATTACTATTAATTATTATTATTAAAAGGAAAAATTTTTTAAATTAGCATTACGAAAATGCTATCAGTTATTCAAGTTCACTTATACACTTAATCATAAGGTAATTATTTTTGCATGCCAACAGATAAGATGATAAGTGATAAGATAATAGCATTTGTTTCGCAATTCAAATCATATAACAGTAATGCAATAATTTAAGCTTAAAATAAAGTTGAATATTTGAGGAATTTNTAAAACTTAAAATAAAGTTGAATATTTGAGGAATTTAATGTAGTATCAACAATGCCTAACTTTTGCTTTAAAGTTTTTTTTTATAAAATGAATTTCAATTACTTTTCATTCATAACTGATAATATTCATCATATAATAGTAATAGTATAATAGTAATAACATTAATAGTATAATAGTATAATAGTAATAGTAATATTGATTTAATTCATGAAATTTAAAATCTTTTTCATTGGAATGACTTAGAGGAAAAAACCAATTGGAAAATTGAATTACAGGAAAAAAAGATATAAAAGTTGAAAGTAATCAATAATTTATTCGATAATATCATTTATTACTTAATAATATCATAACTTAGTAATTTTTGATTAGAAAGAATTAATTATAAATTTTAAATTCAACATTCATCTCTAAGAAAATAAAATTTCACGAGTAATTTTTTGTAATTTTAATGAATAATAAATAAGTAAAATGAGAAAAGATACAAATTAAGTGAGTAAAAACTACCTAATAATAATAATAACAATAATAATAATCAGTAAAATAATAATAATAATAATAATAAAAATACCATTTGTCGTTGCTCATTGTTACAACGAGTGATAATCTGTATGACTCGATATTTATCACATCCTGCACCTTTCATCGCCTCATACAACGTATCAACAGCTGCTTCAGGATCGAAATTAACTTTTGGTTTGATTGTTCCATAAAATTCATCTTGCATGTTTTCAACGTTTCAATAATTTTAATAAATTTTCGCAACTTTTGTTAAAATTCCTAAAACAAAAAGATGAGAACGATTATTTCATATTTGAAGAAAAACAAAAACGTTTAAATATTACGACGAAAAATGATGAAAATATATCTGTCTGCAAAGATAATAATATTTGTTAATTAAATTTGGAAAATTAAAATTATCTTCTAATTCTCAAAATTTACCCATCACATATTATTATTGTTATTATTATCATTATTCTCATTTATTATCCGAAATTAATTAGCTAAAGCACTTGAAAAGAAAATTAATTTAATATAAGAACTATTTTTAAAAAACACTTAAGTAATTAAATACTGAAAAAATTCATTTCAGTCATACATTTCAATGCAAATTCTATAATCATTAATCTATTCGTTACATTTACATAGCCTTTCTTTTAATGATTATTCGATGCAATAAAAGGAAATTAATTACTTTTAAATTGTAGACAAAAGATGATGGAAAAAATTTAAACAAAACTTAAATAATTTAAACTTAATCGAAAACTTAAACCTAATCATAATACCATAATACTACACGTAGGTTAAGAAAATAACTTAAATAACTCAAACTTAATCAACTTAATCAAAAACTTAAACTTAATCATATCATAATACTACATGTAGGTTAAGAAAAATTTAAATTGCTTGAACTTAATCAACTTAATTAAAAACTTAATCATAATATCATAATACTACACGTAAATAATTTAAAATTTAAAATCATAATGTTCACATACAGGTTGAGAAAATTTTCAAAATAATATTTTGAGAATGAAAAAGAAACAAAGAACAATATAATATAATTTTTCTGAGAGAGAAAATGTAATCATAACGAATAGTTAAGGCATATAAATTAAGGCGAACAAAAAAAGATATTCGAAAATGAAGAAAGGAAATTAAAAAGAAATTAATTTAAATTCTTATTATTCCGGAAATTTTCTCTCTCTTCTTTTTTCGAATGTATTAATAACGATTTTCTGTCTTCTTTTTCGCCCAATGGAGATAAATTCATTCGAATAAATGAAAATGAAATGGGTCGAAGTAGAAGAAAACGAGGAATAAAATAAAATCCATTTCAAGATTTTTCGAAAAAGCACATAGCCTCCAGTCCATACTGAAATGTCCACTCTAAAAAGCCTATCTAATATATACTGAAACATTTCGCACAAATATGCCTTTTCGAAGTGCTCAAATATGCCTTTTCGAAGTACTCAAATGTACCTTTTCAGTGCATATTGAAGAATCTGCCCAAAATGCATATTACAAAAGCCTTTTTCAGTGCATACTATAAGGCCGAATTGTCACAAATGCCTTTCCAATGCGTATGAATCTTTTACCATTCAATAATATTAATTTAAGACCTTTTCCAGTATATAACATAAGGCATGATTTGAAAACATTCTGAAAGGCCTATTACAATGCGTACTACAAGGCCTAATTCGAGAGCGTCTTGCAACGCGTATCACATTATACATACATACTACAAGAAATTTTTCAAATCCACACTACAAAAGCCTAATTTGAAAACAACTTATCACACAATACACACTACAAGGAGTTTTTCAAATCAACACTATAAAGCCTAATTCGAAAGCATTCTATAACGCCTATCACACAATACATACTACAAAAGGTTTTCAAATTCATATTACGAAGCCTATATTGGAAAGCAACTACAACATCTATCACACAAAACATACTACAAGAGCTTTTGAAATTTGTATTATAAGGCTTAATTGGAAAGCAACCTACAATGTTTATCACACAATACTACAAGAACTTTTTCAAATCCATATTGCAAAGCCTAATTCGAAAGCATCCTACAACGCTTATCACACAATACGTACTATAGAAGCTTTCCAAATCCAAACTATAAGGACTTAATTCGAAAATAACCTATCAATAATACATACTACAGAAGCTTTTCAAATTCATACTATAAGGCCCAGTTTGAAAGCATTCTAAGAGGCCTATTGAGGAATAGGAGATAGAAGAGAGAAGAGAATAAATGGATATGTGAGATAGGAAATGGATGAGTTGTTGCTTACTGCGTATGGCAAGTAGAAGATGGCTGTATTGGTTGACTGTGCAATCTATCCAATCACAAATGATTCATCACATTAGCACAAAGGAAATGTACTTATGACGGAAAAATCGATTACATCACATTTTATTTCATCTCATTTGTAATGCCCATTTTTTAGTCTATCACCAAAATAATGCTATGAATGTTATACGTACGTTACGTTACGTATGATATTTCACGTAACCTATAATGATAAAGTGATATCATTATCAAATTTTGAATTTGAAAGCAGAAGAAATGTACTAATGAGCAGATATATTGATAAGTGATCATTGTAAATTATTATATGAGAAGATAACATCGATTATATTACTATTATCGTTTGAAGAGATAACAATGATTATGTTGTGTAAATTCTTCATGAGAAAACAATGATTATATTAGTAATTAGGCCTGAATGTAGTAAATAGGCTAAAATGTAGTAAATACGTCTAAATGTAGTGAATAGACGTAAATGTTGCAACTAAGCCTAGATGTAGCAAATAGGCCCAAATGTAGTAAATGGGTCCAAATGTAGTAAACAGGTCTGGATGTAACAAATAGGTCTGGATATAATAAATAAGTCTAGATGTAATAAACAAGCCTAGATATATCAATATGTAGGCTTAAATATGAATATTAAATTAGAGGTAAAATAAGTTTAATCGATAAAAAAGAAAAACTAGAAAGTTATGGAAGAAAAAGATTAAATTGATCAATGAAATAAAATGGTTAATTGAATATAATTATCAACAATAAGTTGGGAATGATATCACTTATCACTTATACATTTTACAGCATTTAAACTACGTGTATTATGTTTAATTTCAATGCTATATAAAATTTCAGATTATATTTTATATAATATAATATAATTATATTATATAATTTCAGATTATATTATATTTTCAGATTATTCAGGTTAATTAATTATCATTTTTTTTTATTAAAAATAATTGATAATGTATGATAAAAAGGTATAGAATAAAATGATAATTCTGAAAAGTCAGTGTAATATATTTAATTTTCAACAAACTAAAACAAACAAATAGAGAAATAAATGAGAATATTTAACAGATGGCTGGTTGGAATGTATTAATGAAATCATTTGATGCATTCAATTAGATCAGACAAAATTAATATTTCTCTTTTTATATAAATATATTGAATTTGGTGGAAAAAAAGACTGCAGAAATAATAGACATTGCAATTATATATATATATATCACATATTCATTACAGATATATTTTGTTCATATGTTGTAAGACTTCTATTTGGTGATAAAGGATATATATCTTATCATTTTAAAGCCATAGAAGTAAGCAATCAGTATGTAAAGCAATACATGCATATCACATATTTACTACAGATATATTCTCTACATATATTACAGGATTTCTATTTGGATGATAAAGGATATAAATCTTATCACTTTGAAGTCATAGAAATAAGTAATCAGTATGAAAGCTATACATGTATATCACATATTTATTATAGATATATTCTGCACTTATAAGACTTCTATTTGGTGATAAGGGATATATCTTATCACTTCGAAGTGATAGAAATAAGTAATCAGTATGTAAAGCTATACATATATATCATATATTCATTGCAGATATATTCTGTACATATGTTACAAGATTTCTATTTGATGATAAAGGATATGTATCTTATCATTTTGCAGTCATAAGAAATAAATAATCAGCATGTAAAACGATGGATGGATGATGAGCTGTGACAGAGACAGCCATTATAGACTTCAAGAAGTGTAGTGAAAGAGGAGGAGAAGAAGCAATTAGTCGCAGAAAATCAATGTTAAGGCGTGAATGAAATTTTGCAGTGATGTTGGAAAACTAAAAATCATTGGCGGTGTAATTGGACAGGAAAAAAATAAGTGTTGACTACAATATTTCGTAGGTGTTGTTGCATAGGTGTTGTTGTTGTTAACAACACAGATATTATTATCTTCTGGGTATTATCAATCAGTAAATATACCGCCTCTGATTGTAGAAAAAAAGCATGAAGAAATTAATGAAAAAGCATTAAATCTGAATCCTGCTATAGAGAGAGAGAGAGAGAGAGAAAGAAGTTTTGAATACGACAATAGAATATCTATACTTATGATCAGTTAAAAGTATCAAATGAGCTAAAGAAGAAGGGTATATCAGTATCATCAGACGGAATAAGGTCTCATAAATTTGTTTTCCATTAGAGCATTTTGTTTTTGAAATAAGCGAGCTACCTATTTCATGAACTGGGAACAAGCTGTTGCAAGAAAATGAATATAATCTAAAGTTTTATATTAATAAAGTTATGCGTGATTCGCTTTAGTTACTAAATAGATCGACTGTATATACATATCGAATAAATTTGTAATGAATATGTGATATACGATGAGTGAATTAATATAGAAAACAGTCACAACGAAAATAATGGTAAAGTTATAATAAATAATAATAGTAATAATAAACATAAATAGCAAATAATAAATAATCATAATAAAACATTAATAATAATAATAATAATAATAATAATTAATAATAATAATAATAATAATAATAATAATAATAATAATAATAATAATAATAATGAGTAATGAATAAAAAATAATAACAATAA